TACCTAGCGGCCGATGGGAACATTGTAAAAATCCAGAAAAAAAAATTATCACGTGCCTTTTATAGACAAGTGTTTTCTAGAACTCCTCCCGTCTTTCCTCATAAAAGATGCCGCCTGTTGACAATGGCGGGAACGAGTTTTGTGTGTACTAAATGAGTCGGAGGAGGAGGGCGGATCTACCCAATGTGTATTGCTTTTGTAGGAGCCTAGACTTTTTGTAAACTTTACGGTTAACTACGTCTACTCGCCGATATGCCGCAACAACAGACTTTGTTGCAACTTTAACCTGTCAAAAGCATTCAGTCGTTATAGTCGGTCAACTACCAGTAATCATCTATTATCAATAGTTGCTTGAATACGCAATAGAATCTCTAAGATTGGTTGGTCGATTTTGTTTAGAAATATATCAACCTTTATGGATTTTTTAATACCAAACTAAATATTTTGAACGCATTATTATGCCTTCAACTACAGAGAAAATGTATTGCAGGTCATTTTACGATAAAAAAAAGTATTGTTGGTAATTTTACTATAAAAGAAATTATTTTCATATAAAATATATCACTGGCATGTATTTTTTATAATTTCATAATATTTTTGTTTGGTGGTTTACTATTTTCCCATAGCTGGGACCCAAACGTGTGCTACCACTCCCAGGCACAACAGTAATTAAGAGGTGTATACTCTATGATTATAATGGGTTAGGAGACTATTAGCGAAAACATCAAAATAAGGCAAAAACTCTTTCCTATATGATTCAAAATGTTGATGACTTTGATCGTGAATATTTGCCTTACTACTGATTCCATTTTCTCATCTCTGTTGTTAAACTCTCGACATTTCGTCTCTTCTATCTTCCAGCTTTTTTTTCAAGTCCGTCTAACTTTTTTTCGGAATATTGAATTAAGCCATTCATTCAATACACAGAGATATTGTGTCTTATTCCGATTTCTGTGCTAAGGGGATATCCAGTTTCACTGAATTCTCTTTATTCACTTCTATTACTTCAAATTTTTCTACTGAACAAGACGAAGTGACAATTCCTCACAAAATAACACACATCAGGTTCACTGCAAATTGCGCCTTGAACAAAGCACTCAACTCTCTAAGATGGGAGTCCTCAAGTATTATTTGCAGGGCAGCCTGTGCCAGACTAAGAAACTGAGTATGCTTCAAACCCTCTCTGTGTATATGTGTGTGTAGGAGATTCGTTTTGTCCACGTTTTAGCGTGCTTGCGTGATCTGCTTAGTCCGCATTTCAGTGTGCGCGCGTGTGACGTTTCTTTGTGTTTTTCTTTGTCACGTTTGTTTTGCGTGTGTTCCCCTGTGTTTTTACATCATTTGTGTGTGTGTCTCTTTTGGCCTTTTTCACTGTTGCATCATGGTTAACTCCTTTAGTCGTGAATTACGACTATGTACAGAGATCGATCCTTAGTTGAGGTCTCAACCATATGGCCTTCAGTAGGCCGACGAGCCGTTTAGTAAATACCGAGTTTATGTAGATCACACATAAGTACGTGCTTTTAAGTTGATAAATAGCCGAGTTACATATCTTCTCATCTTCCCGATATCGTATGTTCCACTTTTATTCGGATCCACTTCCGTTAAGTCGCACGCACATGATACCGGTTCGTGACTGCACGTTCTCGCGTTCAAGTATCCCAATCAACAAGACACGGCTCTGTTAGCGATGGGCTGAATGCATTCGACTAAGGCAACGCTTTCTGTTTATAAAATGAATAGCTCGTAACCAAGAACGTGATATTTTCTAATCAACTTGAACACACGCGACTAAAAACAAGATTTCAAATGTTGATTGTGAAAGAGATCAGCTCAAAGTAATTTTCATGCCCGTTTTCACGTTTCGTTTCGCATGAATAATGTCGCCGTTCTTCACTCTACATCTGTGCTTCTCTCTGCCTTTTTCCTCTATGATAAGCTTTGCGGGGTGGGAAAGATTATGTAAGTAAGCTTACCTTACTTCTTAATCCTAATAAGAAAGACCAGACTGTTGGTGTATATTTAATTATCTTTCTTAATCTTTGAAATAAAAGATTAGGAAATTTTACGAAATTTATCTCGCATCGATCGCCGATAATTAGTATCGAAGAGAAATATACAACTACTTCACACATCGGACCCGCTAAACATAAGCTCTTTAAATGTTTATATGAAATATTACAAATATATTAGGTTGGCCAGAAAGTCCCGACTCTTAGGAAGCGGAAACAAAACTTGATCAGTTTGGTTGAATTTCCAAAGCGTATTGCATTTTCAGCTTGTTCCACACGGACGCGCCATCAACGTTAAACTGTATCGTCAGCAACTAAACCGCGTATTTGAAAAAACTAAAGGAGTATCCTGCTTTGGTAAATCGAGGTCTGGCTTTGTTTCAGCAAGACAATGCGTGACCACACACTGCCAGTTTGACTAAGAGGAAATAGATGGATGGTGTTGAGATTCTTCCACATCCACCGTTCAGTCCGGAGGCTGCGCCGAGTGACTATGGCCTATAATCCGCTCAGTGGCACACTTACTCCGCGACCACTTTTGATGAAATGAAGGAAGCTTGTTTACAGTATTTTATATTCAAAGCCTGCGAACTGATATCTAAAGCAGATTCGAATGCTGTCTTATTGGCAGAAGATCGTCAAGAATTTGGGCTTTTTTTCTCCTTTCCGCTTCCTGAGCGAGTCAGGACTTTCTGGCAAACCTAATACAAAACTAGTTCAACATGTTTCGCAGTTAAATCAGCGCGCAAAAATCTACAAAATCGAGATAACCTCATTTAGGCCTAATAATCTAAACAAGGAATTATATATATATATATATAATATGTATTGTCGGGATTTCAAGTCCGACTGTTTCGAGAAAGGGAAAATGCCAACTATTAGCATTTAAAGCGAAACTCCACGAAGAAAGAAAATAACGAATTCTTACTTGTTACAGGCAATCGTTTGTGTCAAATTGAGAAACACAACCCCCCCCCACAAAAAAACACCATGTTGCCTACAAGTAATTCTTGTAGAAGTAACAATAGAAAATAACAATTTAGGATTCTTATTAACAGTTTTTTGAAAAGAGCACGGTCGTAACGAAGGAAAAATAGCAGCAGCCTTTGGATAACTATTTTATCATTTTATATATCTCTTCGGACGCTTATGCAAATTTTCACTTTCCTTCCATCATATGGGTTCGACTGGAACTCATTTCAATCATTTTTTGTGCAGGCGAAATAATCTTATTATATTTTCGTCTCCGGTCTAGCCTAAGACCGCCGGACAAGAAATTTGGATTTTCTGGTTGTGAAAGGTTGAAATACGCTAAGGTTTTTCGTTTTATATTTCCGTTAATTTCGAACCATTTTTTTTCAATTTTCAGTTTCTTTTTTTTTGTCTTTGGGAATTTGTAAGCTTTAATTTTTAGTATATTTTATTTTTGTGTGTTACCCTCCTCTCGTTTTAATTTTTTCTTTTCGCGTGTGACTTGTTTTTGGCCAGCCGCCAAAGAGTACGGACACTCTTGTCGGCAGATTGCTTACCATGTCAGCAACCTGGTTAAAGCAGGCCTTCACATGCTTTTACACATGTCTGTATTTAATAAAATGTGAATGTCATTGTTAACCTCCTGCTACTGGACGTGACTGATCCCTGGACAATAGTGTTTCAATTTCATGTTTGTGCTGTCATATCCTGCTATGGCAACAGAAAACAACTTTGAATGGAACTGACAATAAGGATACTGTCATTGAGAAATCTTCAAAGAGAACGCATTGGAAAGGGAAGTAATATTAATCATGCAATGTGCTAAAGGTTAACACACACAGTAACTGGTAGCTAGACATCTATCCAAACCAAATTTCTACCTGCTCTTTCAAAGTGATATGTCTGGGGTTGATAGATTCTTTTCCGATTCCCGAATTCCGGGTAGTTTTCATCGTTGGTCCGACAAGGAACATTATTTGCTCGTATTCAACATCTGATTTTGCGGAAGTGGCTAGCGAGACACAATGCCCCAACCCCAAACTCACCAGTTGCACAGAAGATTGTTGTGAACCACCAATTTCTCAGCAACTGTAATGTTTTTCAAAAATGGCTCGTTTTGAATTTACAGAGTGTCGCAGGAGAGAATACAACCAATTCATTTGTTTTGTTAAATCGTGAGACATCCAAACATCGTACGTTTCACCTATCCAGCTGCTTTCAAACACCTTACAATATGAATACGTGCAATGCCCTGTTTTGTGCAACTTTGAATATTTTAATCAGTCTCCATTTTCCAAATCTAAATGTCCATTTGTGAACCTCGCAAACCACTTACGAAAAGTACTCTCAGCAGAATCTCCATTAACGACACGTTTTTGTTTTTTTTTTTTAGAAATTCTATATTTTTGTTCCTTTCCAGAGTTGAGAGTATCAATTGACGAAAATGCATCTTATATTCCTGTTTTTCCTTTTAATGTAAAAACATTTAAAGTCACAATCCATAAACGAACTGTTTAGCAAGAAATGCCTAAATAGCCCCATTCAAAAGATGACGTCAGATTTCGGTCGCGTGTGAAACATAATTACATGTTCAAACGTCACCTATTAAAAAAATGCTACGAATTTTTGTTGCGAACGCAACAGATACGAAGTTTTCAATGACAACTTTCTGAACGACATAATATGGCCGACAAGTACAAAACATTTGCTCTTTAAGACTTTAGTTGATTTTTCGATTTGGGGATAAATCAATTTTTTCCTTCTGTAAAAATAAAAAATAAATGGAAATGAATATTCATTAGTTTGCGAAGAACAATTCTTTAATTAAAATATTTCTAAATTTTCCTTCGATTCTGGATATCATTAATTGTACGGGAGATCAAGGTTTAAACAATTCATTGTTCACGTCAATGTTGGCATTATGGGTTGTCATAGTTTGAGATGAAATAATTATTTTTGTTAGGTGAGTAACGTTTTGAAAATGACGTTAATATTTTCGGTTAAGATGAACATTCACTAAACAATGAATATTTTTCTTGATAAAGGAGGAAAAACGCACACCGCGGGGAGGGTGAAGATAAAGAAAGAAGGAAGGGAGGGTGAAGATAAAGAAAGGGAGGGTGAAGATAAAGAAAGGGAGGGTGAAGATAAAGAAAGGGAGGGTGAAGATAAAGAAAGGGAGGGTGAGGATAAAGAAAGGGAGGGTGAAGATAAAGAAAGGAGGGTGAAGGGGAGGGTGAAAAGAAGGAAAGGGTGAGGGGGAAGGGAGGGGTGAAGATAAAGAAAGGGAAGGGAGGAGGGTGAAGAGAAGGGAGCTAATAACCCAAATGGGCTTATGTGAAGAGTTTCTGAAAAGTCTGCGGATATTTTTTCTTTAAACACAAAGACTGATCTGAATTCAGTCAACAGTAATCTGGTATTGGTCAAGCAAAATCAAATCGGCAACCAGAAGTTAGGCCTACTAATGTGCAAACCACGAAAGTGGGATTAAAACTGAAAACTGCAGAATGCACGCTGATATCTCTAGGGATGTACAACACAGCATGATCCAGGGTATGTATACTTACCATCTTCTGCATACAATAAGAATGTATGGTTGTCAGCAAAAGACTCATTGAAATTGCAGAATATGCATTCCAAAAACTAAGCAAAAGAACATGAAAATTTCATTAGAAACAAAAAGGGTGCTGGCCGATGAATCTTCCTTTATGACGTCAATGGCATTAAGTCGATCAGTCTTCCTCTATGGCATTGAATGATGGACAATCTTCTCACAGGTGAACATATGACTGGAGTCAAGAAAAACGTTCTCGTTGCCGAGAATACTATGGAATAGCTGCGTAAAGCAATGAAGTCTTAAGATGGATGATCCCTGAAGTGGTTATAAAAGGAAATTTTTTCCTTTTTTTTCCTTATTATTTCGGTCTTGTAACAATGCAAGTCATGTGGTGATTAAACTACGTCGCGGAAGGAAATATTTTTTCGCAACTTAAGTAGTTTTGCTCCTTTCCTAGGTCTGTACATTTTTTAACTTTTGGGGGGGGGTGATTTTCGCGACAAAAGAATGTTTAACAGAAAAATTTTGAAAATGAGACCCCCCCCCTTCCACTCTACCAAAAAAAAAAAAAAAAAAAAAAAAAAAAAATGAAAAATAAATATCTGGAAGATAAAGAAAAAAAAAGTGAAAAATTTAATGAATAATCTGATAAGTACCAACAACAATAGCTGAGAAGTAGCCAACTTGGTGGCTCATATAATTGGAATATTTTCACGGTTCGAAGCAAATATTTAAAACGTTGATTTTCGAGGCCGTTAAGTCTCTCAGTCATTGAATGATTTGCAGAACACATTTTGAAAACGCTATATGTTGCCTACAAGGAATTATGCTTGAAGTAACGTTGGAAAAAGAAAAAAAAGAAAGAAAAAAGTTATGACATTAAGTTTTGGTAACGCGTCCAGTCAGCTTTGAAAGACGGAGCGCGGTCGTAAAAAAGGAAAAAAAATGCTGCTACCACGGATTTTGGTTAACGATTTCTTGCATTTTTTTTATATTTCTCTTCGAACACACATGCAAATTTTGATTCCTCTTCAATCTGATGGTGTCGACTGAAACTCATTACAATACATTTTGGGTGAAAACAAAATATTAGGTTGGTGCAAAATAATGACGTAATGTCGTTTTTGGACGTATTTTTAACGTCAAAAAACGACATCATTACGTCATTATTTTTGCACCAACCTAATATAATGAAAGTTATTTTCGTCACAAGATTACAGTCGAATTCCCTCATTTCTCTCCTTCCACTGAGCTTCGTTAGGGCACAAAGTTTCTGCACAAAATACCTAAGCAATGTGGGACACGTAAAACTTTAAATATATAAACATTGAATTAAAATCGGATTGTTATAATAATCCGAGCTGTTGACATCAGTTAGGTTTAGTTTGTCTTGTGTAATTTACGAGGTAGTTCGTTGCAATCTCAAAGCATATCTGGAGACGCTGTGAGCGGGCAAGAGTTCTATTTTTTTTTCTCCTTTCACAGAGTTTCAGGTACAACGCTTCCGAATCGCTGAGCAGTCCGAGTTCCCCCCTCCCCTCCCCTAATACGTTGGCATAAAAAACCCGACAGATTTCTTATTAACAAACGATACCAAACAAGCAACGACTAACAAACAGCACGTTTTACGGTCTCCCGCGTAATGGGTTAAAACCACTGATAATTAATATCTTTGTATATTAAAAACATTGGTTATTTTTCTATAACTGTCTCCACGTTCATTAGAAGTTACTATTATGCCTCAACGCTAATACTGAGATGTGACCAATTAATTGTAGGAGAACATATGTCACCAAAGAAAATATTCCCATTTGTCAAATTTAATTGACAATGATTGCAGAAACAAAAGAAACAATATTCATGTTAAGAAGAATGCGCTATTTTGAAAATTAATAATCATAGTACAATGACTTAGTCACATAGCAATTAGGATAAAGAAATAAGTACAAAAATGCATTTGTCTGGAAATATAAATTACAAGCAAGTGCTATTGCAGCAAATCTTATTCCAGTAATTATTGGAGCAGTAAGAATGTTAAGAAAAATAAAAATTAAAATCCCATATTTTTTTATGAAGTACAAAACTAAAAGAATGTTTAGACGTAGTCGGCAACTGCTCGCATTCGCGCATCAGGTGAGTTATTCCTTTTCTCACTTCTGGTAACAGTGGCGGTAATTGTGGATAAATAAATGAAATTACCTGCGCTTATGGGGCGGCCGTAGGACGTAGAAACACTGGTTTTGTAGTTCTTGTTACTGGAAGGGTGGGATGTACAGGTTTGCCCTTTGTTATTTAAGGTCTGCCTTCTCTTTTCAGTATCTTTATATATTTTTTTTTTATTTGAGAAGGACATTACGCGAACGGAGTTATTTTTTCTCGCTCTTCTTTCTATTATTTGATTCCTGTTTAAAATAGGGTCGTGAGAGGAGTCATCTTTCGCAATCATTTATTGCCGGGCCGACTTTGATTACTCTTGAGTTCAAGATGTCTCTGAAGAGTAGGTCAAAGAAAATTTGACGAGGCCATTCACGTGAATTTGATTTTAGGGCGCGACGCAGAAGACCACACACTTGGTTAGAAGCGCCTCACTCACGGCCCAAAGGGGATTGAGACACGCGACATCTGGCAAAGCTGGTTGCATCAGGCTGTCGGATTTTGGCCTGTCAAGGGCCGCCTTGGTTATGCCAGCCAGACTGGTGCCGTCGTCTTTCGCTTATTTGGTAGTCGAGATTGTGTATCTCTTTGCCTTTTCGCTGCTAGGTTCTTCGGAATTTTGGTTGCATTCAGTCTAGTCTAGGTTTAGAAAATCTGTTTCGATAACTTCTTCAGTAAAATCATCATTTACTCTAAGTCTTGGGCAAAAAAAGTGCTTAGCAAATTGTGCCAAAAATCAAATTAAAAAAAAAACAACGCCTCATACAATGCGGATCAACAAACGAGACTATAAACTACGTGTCGTACACATTACTTCCCTTAATTGGAAGTAATCATCTAATTATTATCTCCCTTTATATCCTCCTTTGACTGGGTCATTTATTTAGCGTCAGCGTCGTCGCGGGTCATTTTGTTAATTAAAACTTTCGTTAAGGTTATTTTCTGCTCTTGTTCTTATAAGAATAAGTAAATGCAGAAACTACCTCAGACAGTACAACAAAACGAATGAATAATTGAGTATCAACAAGTGGAACGTGTCAAATTTGCATGAGGTGCAGATTATGTAAAATATTATAAATGTAAATAGGAAGCGAGACGATTTTTTTTAAGACAGAAAATTTTGCAAATTGAAATTTCCATCTCATTAGGATTATATTTTTAGCCCAGATCGGTGCACAAACCTTACAGTTTGATGAGGTTCAAACTTCAGTTTGCTAAGCACAAACTAAGGTTCGATTAAAATCATTTATACTTACAAAATGTTCCAGAACTTGAATCATATGCTCTTATTTCGTAGCCCTCAGAAGATATGATTATCGATTTTACAATATTCTTGCCTTTTGCATGAAAAAATAAAAGCACAATATACTGATATCTGAAATTGCTTCGAAGTCACTTTTACATTCCCTTTTAGCAACCTCAAGCAAAAGAGACTATATTATAAAATGATATACTTCAATTTCTTGCGATGATTATTGCGATAGATTATATGACAAAACAGACACGTCTTTTATACATGCCTATATTGCACTTAATCGACTGTGTGGTGACTAAAAAAAAGGAAAAAAAAAGGACAATATATTGTACTAAACGAGGGTAGTTCGGGAGGGGGGGAAGTATGTGCTCTGTCGTCGTCGTCTAAAATAAAGACTTTCTCCCGGGCCGAACCAGGACAAAAGGATTGACGATTTTTATGGATGCTCTGGTCTCGTCGTATGACGTTGAACGAGACCACGAGAGTTTTAAAAGGTGGTACTTTTTGTCGCAAGTTCTGTTTCTTATTGTTTACAGAACCTTTGTAGAGCTCGCTTGTTACGCAGAGAAGAGTGCCGAGTGTTACTAGTCATTTGACTTTTGTTACCGTTACAAGGGAGACTTATGAGCCGAATTATAATGTAATATTATAATGTAATATTGCGGAGATCAGTGGCAATGTATAAAATAAAGTACTTACCTGCTAATGTAAAGTTTAAATTCTCCTGCTGCACCGTTCGGGATTTACGGTTTCGTATAAGTAAAGATTTACTCTCAGTAATAGTAGATAAAGAGTATAAAAACACCCTGGTTAGTGAACGAAATGTTAGTGAAAGCAACACAATCAGGAGCAGTTTTAAGAGTAAAAAAAATAAGTTGACAATGTTTTATAGCGCGACAATTCCGCTCTTAATTCGTCTTTAATGCCCAGTTGATTACTTAAAAAGTAGAAAATAATCGTCAAGGATGAGACTGGTGTAATAAGAAAATAATACCATCTTTACTCTACCTCTTCTTCCTGCTCCATATTGATAAAGTTAACGAATTCATTTTTTTTTTCAAGAATACAAATATGAAAATCTAGCATACTGCACTAGAAAATGGAATAAAATGAATACAATTTCACTACACAGATCAAAATCTCTTGCAGAACGACCAAATAAATCTCTGGAGATTTGCCATCTAAACGGGTCACTCTACCCAGGTCAGCAAAACCAGATCTGGTCGTCGTAAAACGGACATAACAGATCGCATATTTAAAATTAAAAATGCCAAAAACCTGAATACTATTTAGTTCTTCAGGAGAACTATTATTATATTATATATATATATATATATATATATATATATATATATATATATATATA